GACATGTCATTTTATTGGTGTAGGGGGCACCTCCCTTCTAATTTAAATTTTTAATTTCCCTTCTAATTTAAACTCCCCTCTACCAATGCAAATCAATAATTGCTTTACAATTTGTAGGCTCAGAGATTTGCTTGGGACATTAAGAAGTTATGTGACTTATTCCATGATCACACTGTGAGTGTGTGTCAGTCAAGACTTGAATTCAAGACTTCCTAACTGTAGTATGTGTGTGTGTGTGTGTGTGTGTGTGTGTGTGTGTGTGTGCATACATATACATAGACGTATTATATATAGTGCTTAGCATGGTGCCTAGAACATAGTAGGTACTTCATAAATGATTACTAAATGATTAACTTTATATACATACACAGACAAATACACATCTAGATCCTTTAGGATAATAGAATTTAGAGCCAAAAGTGACCTCAGAGATCATCTGATCCAACCTTCTCAGTTTTATAGATGGGGAAACTGAGGTCTGGAAAGGGGAAGTAGCAGAGTTGGGATATGAAGCCAGGACCTCCAACCCCGAATCCTATTATCTTTCCACCTTAGTTAGGTGCCACAGTGGAGAGAATAGTGGTTCTGGAGTCAAGAACACCGAGTTCAAAACCAGCCCCAGACATTTACTAGCTGTGTGAGCCTGGGTAAATCACTTAACCTCTGTCTGCCTCAGTTTCCTGAACTGTAAAATAGGGGTAATAATAACACCTCAAAGAGTTGTGATGATCAACTGAAATATTTTGTAAAGCATTTAGTACAACGCCTGGCATATAGTAGGTGTTTAATAAATGCTTTTTCACCCTTCCCCATTTCAACACATAGTTGCCAATACAGAACAAAGCCAGCCAGCTTTGTACTACACCACAATTACAAAATATTTTCTATGCCATCACATTTCATACTCCCAATTGGCCTATGAGATACAGTTGGCATTATGATGACCTATGTATAGTATCATCAGATTTAGAGCTAGGTAAGCACATAGAAATTATCCCCTCCAGCTCTCTCAACAGATAAGGAGGACCCTTAGGCCCAGAAAGTTTAAGCAGCTTGTTCAAGATTACTCGAGGGAGTAGGTGGCTAAGCTGGGATTGAAACCGGCTTCTGACTCCCAGGCCAATGCTTTCCCTACTCTCTCAAGCTGAAAGTGATTAACATTAGAAGGATGAAGAGAAAACTATTCTAACAGAGAAAGTCATCAGTGAGAATAGAGCGTTCTTTATTGTGATTTCAGATTTACAACAGGAAAATGTCTTGCTTCAAAGAAAAGAAGACATGCAGGGCTCAGACTCAGACTACTTTATACTATTTATCCCACCAACTCCCATCATTCTAGAGAAAAGATTGGGCTAGGTAATTGTACTGCCTCCATTATTCCTTGGGAGTGAAAGATGAAAAGCTAAAAGGCTTCCCTGTCTTTTGTTCTAGCACAAATGCTGTAAATCACAGAACATTCTACTGGAACCATTTTTGGGGAGTCATCATTAACTGCCCTGAAGCAGTAACTTAATATATTGAATCACAGAATGTTGGAGCTGGAAGGACCCATAAAGGTTGTAGAAGCAGACTTACATCTACCTTCCTCTTTCCGCTGCCTCTTTTAGAACATTAAGAAAACATTTTAAAATTTATCCTAATCTGAAACTTTTGAACTAATCTGACAAAGAAAACCTTGTCAGTCATTCTTTGACTATCAGTTCTGAAACAATGTCTCTCTCTCTCTCTCTCTCTCTCTCTCTCTCTCTCTCTCTCTCTCTGTCTCCCTTACCTTCCTTCCTTCCTTCCTTCCTTCCTTCCTTCCTTCCTTCCTTCCTTCCTTCCTTCCTTCCTTCCTTCCTTCCTTCCACAATACTTGCCCAGCCTCCCTCCCCCACTCCCAATATAAATAAATATAAAAAAATAGAACCCTTCTAATAAGTAACATAATCAAGCACAACAAATACATATATTGGCCACACCCAAAAATGCATATCTCATTTTGTATCTTGCATCTATGACCTGTCTTCCTACAGTCCCCCAGAAATTGGTCATTTTCTTTTTTTATCTTTGATAAACATGCATTTATTTCTTTAAGAACTGCATATTAATATCCTTTGAACACCTATTTATTGGTGAATATCCCTTGTTCTTATGTATTCAAATTGATTCTTTATATATCTTTGATAACAGATTTTTATCAGAGAAACTTGCAGTGATGATTTTTCACAGTTATTTCCTTTCTAATTCAAACTACATTGATTATATGTAGGTCATATAGCCATTTGGAGCTTATCCTGACATATTGCATGAGACTTTGGTCTAACGGCTGCACTCATGGATTTCTCCATTATACCCCAGGAACTGCTTTATTCTGGAAGATCACTTTATCCCTGGTACCTCATAAATACTCTCTGCTTCTGGGGCCCTTTATTCTCATTGGAATGTGGATTACTTCTCCCAGATCCTCCATTTAAAGAAAGTGCCAGGCCAGGCATCTCCACTTCCCACCAGGGAAGTTCACATTTTCCCACTGCACATCTCTGGACTCCTCCATTATACCCCTCAGCCAGGTACCTTCCTTCTCCCTCCCACCCTTTTTTTAACCTCCGATTTGTATGTTGTCTCCCTCCACACACACTTAGAATGTAAGCTCCTTGGGGTCAAGGATTTTCTTTTGCCTTTCTTTGTACCCCCAGTATTTAGCATAGTGTTTGACACGTGGTGCTTAATGAATGTTTGTTGACTGGCTGAAAGATTAAAAGCTTATTTCTTCCAGGCTGTTTTCCAGTTTTGTAGCAGTTTTTGTTGAATAGCAGCCCTCTGATTTTCCAGATAAGGAAACTGAGGCAACAGAAGAGCTGATTTACCTAGGCTTGCACAGCAAATTAGCATCAAGCCAAGTCTTCTGGTTCTCAGTCCAGCTCTTCTAACACTACCTTATGAATGAATTAAAATCATTTATTGAGCATTTATATGTACCAAGCACTGTACTCAGTTCTTGGATACAAATACAAAAGTGAGATGGTCCCTGCCCTCAAGGATCATACATTCTAATGGAGAGACAATACATATAATCATGCTAATGGGTTATCCTCCCAAAGTGCTTACCATATACCTAGGGAATAGCCAAACCCATAGGAAAATATGGCTCAAACTGATAAATCAGGTTTGTAATTTCCAATTACATGGTTTAGGATGAGAAAGAGAAAGAAAGTTGGGAAATATTTCCATTATCAGAGGTACAAAATGGTGGATGGATAGTGTATCTTTTAGGGCGCAGTTTCTTTGTTCTGTCTTTGACCAACCTATAGGAAATAAAATCAAATGTAGGCTTAACAGACAGTAAGCTCACAAGATTTAGAACTGAAAGGAAACTAAGAGAATATTTAGTACAACTCCTTTTTATAGAGGAAGACCAATAGTCAGGGGCAGAGCTGTACCTCAAACTCTTCCTCCAAATCCAATGCTATTTCTACTGAACTATTTTGATCTACTAAATGAATTAATTAAATTTCTTCTTTTTCAGAATTGTGTTGGCACAGTCAAAGGATTTCTCTCCTAGTGGCAAAGCATCTGATGATGAGCCTGGATCCTTGGATCTGAGGATCCATAGTGAAACCTTTTTTGGCTTGGTAAATCCTGTAAGAGCTTATATTCTGCTGACTTAGCCTTCAAGAACTTGGGGTCACCCTCATACCAGGATGAGGCATCAAAGCAACATTTTTGGGTATAAGAAATCATTAAATGACTTCTCAGAACATGAACTTTTCTATTTTTAGGTTGGATGTGGCAGCAAATCTGTGATCTCATCAATGCAGCTACTTGGTCCAGTGGTGCAGATTATCACCCATCTGCACCTTCTCATCTTTTGAGATTTTTATCAATGTTTTCCCATAGATCCTACAGAGTTCATTTGATATGCTGATGATATGCTAATTATGATATTTATGTAGCATCTACTGTGTACCAGAGCTTGTGCTAAGCACTTTATAAAATACTGAAGGCCTTCTTATAGAATGCTTGACATTGTGTGGGTACCAGTGGAGCGCACAGATTATCCACTGGTTATGCTTCACTTTTATTGCTTGTCTGGTACACCTCCTTTTCCAGTCATAAATGTTTCTAATAATATACTTTATATTGCTTCTCCTGTACAAGTCTTCATTGACAATCATTATAATATGCTCTGGTTTATTCATGCTCACCATATGTCTCCATCATCCTTTAAATTTTTGTAAGTCGTGATATTCCATGCTTTGTAGCCACATAAAATAACTAGGAAGATTTCAGTTATTAAGAAAAATTAGTCTTTGTTTCAAGTATGAATTTGGGGGGAGGGGTCATTAAGAACACCAGACACCATGTTGGTTTTCATCCAGCCTATCCTCCTCCTATTCAGTTCGGATCACAACTCATTGTACATCTTTATGTATGTTCAAGCCGTATAAATATACACGTGCATATCCTATATATGTGGGTATGTATGTGCATCTATATATATGCATATATGAGTATTTGTACATGCATATATACATAAGTATATAATGAGGTGTATGATAATGGATTAGCTCTACAGATTATCCATTCAACATCATATGACCATCTTCAAAATAGGTGTTTTTCATCCACTTGGTTTTTCTTATTGGGATAGTTAGACTGTTCTTTTGAATGACTATAAAAAATTCATGAAACAAAGTTTGGGTCATACTTATATAAAAAAAACACAGAAAAAGAATACAGCTGTAGTTTCATTTATTTAATTTTTTGCATGTACAGAACCACAAAATCCATGATGTCCTATATATGATACACCAGGCATTAGGGAGATGCATATGATCATAGCATTATACCAGTTTCCTCTTTCTTTCTTTCTTTCTTTCTTTCTTTCTTTCTTTCTTTCTTTCTCTTTCTTTCTTTCTTTCGGCTAGGCAGTGGGGTTAAGTGACTTGCCCAGGGTCACACAGCTGGGTTATTATGTGTCTGAGGCTGGATTTGAACTCAGGTCCTCCTGAATCCAGGGCTGGTGCTCTATCCACTGCGCCACCTAACTGCCCCTTCCACTTTCTTTCTTTTCTCTTCCTAATGTAAAAATCTTTGAAGAACTCCCCATTTAGGCCTTGCTGACATTTTCTCATCTTTTTACATTCAACAGAGTTTGGTGTATATGTTCTTTCACCAACTTGTGGGAGAACTTGACATTCTTGCTTGACTGCCATTATGGATTTAAATAAGATGTAATATACATTATTTTGTCAGGACATGAAATGTTACTTGCTCCTGCAGGGGCTAGTAGAAAATAAAATTAACTCACAATTCATCCTTAAGTTATGCCTTTTTTCCTCATCAAGATGGCTGTCAGCCATAAGGCACATCCAAAGTCACTATATTGTCTGGAGTCCTTCATGCAGTTCAGTGTCATTTCAGGGTTTGTGGATAAATTAGAAAGCCCTACCTGCCCCCTCTGGCACCCCAAATAGTAAATAGCATCTCTTGATAATAACAGCAAAGAAACAGTAAATGTCCTGCTCTCTGCCAGGGTCTTATGCATTGCTCTGCAGAAGTTCAGAAGTTCAGTTCAACTACTCTTCAGTAGTTCCCCATTGTCTATAGGGCAAAGTATAAATTTCTTAATCTGACATTCAAAACTCTTCACAATCTGGGACAAAACTACTTTCCCAATCCAATTTCACATCATGACGCTCCTCTTTATGGAGCCCAGAGCCCACATTCCCATCAAATAGGCCTTGTCCACTGATCTAGTCATACCCTACCTGCATCTGTTTTTGCACAGGCTAGACACAAGCTCATTCCATGTCTGCAGGGGATTCTCACTTCCCTTCCTATTTCCCTTACCTTTCTTCAAAAACTGACTCCAATATTGCCTCCTCTTTTCTGATCTTCCCAGCTGAAAGTGAGCCTTGCTTACTTGATTCCCTCATATCTCTCTGATTAGTAAGAATATCTGTTGCTAGTGTAATTGAAAAAAACAACTTTCAGACAATATTTTTTTAGTTGAGACAAATGCTTAAGAATTTCCTGTATAACTCTGAAATTTTAAAATTATTTTGAATCAACATCATCTCCCAAATCCTGACTCATGATTGTGGCTTGGAGTTGACCCTGGATCCTTCAAGGACGTATCAGAGAATCAGTCTCTGGCAGGTCCTCCCAAGCAGTAAAGGCTTCAAGGACAGAACCCATGATAGATTACCCACCCATTGCTCATGAAAAGACCCAACACCAGAAGATTGGTCCCAGGAAGATGATTAACTTGGGGGGGGTCATGACAACCCAAGAAAAAGACAAAAACACACACTGTATCATGATGTAAAACTGGAATGTACCATGATACTTGAGGAAGAAGCTAGACAATTTAGTAGATAGAGCATGGGATATGGATTCAGGAGGGCTTGAGTTTGAATCCTGACTCAGACAATTAACAGTTGTGAGACCCTAGAGCAAATAGGTCAACCTGCCAGCCTCAGTTTCTTCATCTGTAAAATGGGAATAATAACAGCACCTGCCTCCCAGGGTTGTTGTGAAGATCCAGTGAATGAATATATGTGATGTGCTTTGTCAACCTTAAAGCTGCTTTGTCAGTGTTAGTTATTATTATGGTGCCCAAGGAAAAATGGCAACTTTGGGAGTCAGTTCATTCAGAAATTCTGATACCACATAGACCAATAAAAGTTGCTGACTAAATCTTGCCAAGTGTTCACTTTCACGAGAAGCCTGTAACTTCACACTGTGTTGAAGCTATTTCTGAGGTTTTCTACATGTGTAACAGTCCCAGGCAACCTTGCTGATAAAGACTAGGGAGGTCTATGAGGGACCATACTCTCTGACTTAGAGGGCTGAGGGAATGAGCTCTAAAACCTCCATTTGAGGAGAGGTCCCAGCATATCCTTCTAATCAGTTCCCACCAGTTGCACTCCTTTTGGAGTTCTTTGGATTGTTCTATCATTCCCTCACACCAGGTACCTTCTCCCTCCACTCTCCGCTTTTCAGCTTTGGTTTGGGTCTTGTCTCCCCCCATTATGTTGTAAGCTCTTTGAGGGCAGAGATTGCCTTAATTTTTATTTATTTGTATTCCTAGCACTTTGCACAGTGCCTGGCACCTAACAGTTGCTTATTGACTTATCAAGGTACTATGTGAACTCAATCTCAGGCTTCTGTTTGGAGTTGCTCTACTGTTTTTGAGGCTTTTTTGCCTTACTCCAAAATACCACAATGGAAAGTGTGACAGATTTGGGATCAGAGGTTTGAATCTCAGCTCTGTTACAGTTGATTCATTGTGCTTGTCATAAAAAAGGCTTACGTTGGCTGTCACTCTTGGGGCTGCCTTGCATCAGGGATGAAGGAACTGAAGGGCATACAGGTATTTTCCAAGGGTTCTAAGCTTCAACAACCTCTACTGTGCTACTCACATTTCAGGAGTGGTGGGATCAGATCCTAGGGAGAACTGCATTCATAGAGAATAGCACTTTTTACCTTTACCCAATAGAACAATGTTTTTGAAGCATTAGCAAGTGAGTGTGCCCTTGACTCAACTTCTGGGACTTGCCAGAGCCCATTGTCTTGTCTGATATGTTGGCTCACAAAGTCAAAGTGAAGCTGATACGGACAGACCACTACAACATGCCTTGAACTAATTATTCAAATGTTAAGAAGAAGATAGCAAAGCCTAGGGACTGGTAAGAGGGTTAAACTAGAAGTCAGAAGACCTGGCTCCATCACTTCCCAGGTATGTCATCTTGGCTAAGTGACTTTTTCTGTCTGAGCCTCAAGTTTCCTTACTCACAAAATAATAATATATAACATTATGTAATATAATATTATACTAATATATAAAATAATGAATGCTTCTGTAAACCATTAAAAGTCTGTACAACATACCCATAAGGTACAGGATAGGGGCTAAGTTACTCACTTAGAAGTAACTCAGTTCTTCTGTCATAATTCTCAGCGGAACCAGAAAATATATTCATATTAAAATCTCGAACATTAACTTAAGTCTCCCAGATTGAGGCAAAATACACATTTAGTCCAAAAGGTAAGTTAATTCTAATGAAGGAAAGCCTCTATGGGGTATACTGAGAATAGCAGTCATCATTTAATCTCGGCAGTGGGCAAGGTTTTAGAAGACATTCAGTTTGGGAAGCAGGGGTGCATGTGGCTGTAGAGGACAGGACAGTTTCTTTTCTTTAGCCTTTACTGATTTGTGCTTAATTTTCCATTAGGCCATACCTTATTTATCTTTGTATTACTCCTCCCCCCATCACCGTGCTCTGCCTCTAGCAGGTGCTCGATAGATATTTGTTGATGGTGATGAAGCTCATGAATGAAAAAAATAAAGATCCAGTCCTCTATGAGCCTACAACGATCCTGCGGCTGATGGCTCCAGGCATCGTGTAGATGAAAAGCACCAGGAAGACAATAAGGATGATCAGAATGAAGGCAATGATTATGTACTTCTTGTAATTCCTCCAGATGAGGTGGTACAGGCACTTGAAGGGGCTCAGGAACCAGGAGAAGGAGGTGTCTGGGCGGCTGGAAGGGAAGCAGCAAGGATTGGAATGAGTCAAAGGATCCCGCTATTTTGCCACTATTTCAAGTGAGTGCCTGTTAGACTCAAGACCATTTCTAAAGAAGACCTTCTGGAGCCCTCAAATCCAAAAGTTGATGTTATGAGAGAGAAATCCTCAAGCGGTGGGGAAAGGGAATATTTTAAATGATGACCTTTGTCCCTGTCATAATGACTAGAATGGTACCTCCACAGAACATTTTGCTGCTGATTATCTCCTAACTCTGGGTTTAAAAACTTCCACAATTTCTTTCTCCAATTTACCTGACAAAGCCTTATATGATGATGATGATGCTGATGAATAACCACAATTATCAGCATTATTATCCTCATGTTAGAGATGAGGAAACAGGCTGAGAGGTTAAGTAGCTTGCCTAGACTCACACAGCTAGAAAGCCTTTAAAGCAGGATTCCAACTCAGAACCTCCTGATTCCATGTCGAGAGCTCCATATACTACGTCATGTTGTCCCTCAAAAAAGAAATGAATTCATAGATGGCGGGTGTTCAATAATGAATGTGAATAAACAAATACTACTTGTCCACGTGTGTGTGTCATCCTGCCAGTCTGATGTGGAGATTGCATAGCTCCTGATATCAAGGAGTTCACAAGCTAGCTAGAGAGATTCAATAAATTAATGTGAAACGGCAGGAAATGAACCAAAAGGAAGCATTCGACTCTTGGTCTAAGGCCCCCAAGGTCCATGGAAGAGGTCCTCAGGCTTGAAAAGTTTTCCTGTTGAGGCATTCTACTAAACCAACTTGTCTGTCCCTCTCTGGGGTTGGGGGGATGACTAAACCAGGGGTGGGGAACCCTTAAGTGTACTTCCGGCTCTCTGAAAGGACAGAAAGATGGGCTTCTACTCACTTGGGTTTATCCAGGGGCTCTGGTTCTTTCCGAGCTTTGCCAACAGGGTTTTTTTCAGCTTCCTCAGCAGTGACTAAATGGAACTCGGCTTCTACTTTACCCTATATTGGGAAGAAAATATTTTAATTCATCTCTGTTACAAAAATCTCTTAGATGAAAACCAGAATCAAAGCAGACGTCCAATGTGTATAGTACTTTCAGATCTGGACAACACTTGCCTCCCAACATATGGGTTTGCAGGTATCATTATCCCCATTTTATAGAAGAAAAAAACTGAGGCAGTCCAGTGCTTCTCTTTAAGGGCACAGAAATGGTTAGGGGACAGGCTTGATCCCATAATCTAGTGTTTGTTTGTTTGTTTTCCTTTCCTTTCCTTAAGTTTGTTTAACTTTCCTTAAGATTCACTCCACATTGATGAACATCTGGTCTGCCTCTCCAGGAAGATGACAGGGAATACCCAGGACTCAAATCAACACGCATTTGTTAAGTATCTACTATGTGCTAGGTATTGTGCTAAGCTCTAGGGATACAAAGAAAGGCAAATGACAGTCCCTACTCTCAAGGGACTCATGTTCTAAGGGAGGAGACATGAAAATACCTATGGATACCTAGGATAAATTGGAAATAGTAAGCAGAGGATTTGAGCTTTGAAGACCTGGCAAGACGCACTGAACTAGGTACATGCTGCATTGGCAACAGGAGGAAAAGATTCAGGACAGAGGTGTCCTGTTTCCATGTCTTCTTGTCCTTCTCTTCCCCGTTGGTGGGCAACAACACTAGTTACCTCCTGACACTGGTCTGACCATTGTTTTTCTGTTTGTTGGCAGAAACCTGACCTTTCTCACTGGTATAGGGAATGGGAGAATGGTGGCTTTCCTTGCTCAGCCTCACATTCTCCCTCCCTCTCAGCTAGCTGGCCACAAGGAAGGAGGGTAGCCCAAACCTGGATCTGCTCTGATCTGGAGATAAATCAAGTACCATACTTTCTCTGTCTCTGTGTCTCTGTGTCTCTGTGTGTCTCTGTCTCTCTCTCTCTCTCTCTCTCTCTCTCTCTCTCTCTCTCTCTCTCTCTCTCTCTCTCTCTCTCTCTCTCTCTCTCTCTCTCTTCCTCTACCACCACAGGAATTGGGAAGAGCCAACCCAAATGACTCTAGAAAAGGCAATGCATTTTAATCCTCTTTACAGGAAAAAATTGTAATATATTTAGTATTATTGTTAAAGATTCTCTTTTCATTATATGGGAGTCATTTTTGATAGCTTTGTAAGCTATTAATTGAGTTAATAGTTTCCCTAATGCATCCATTTACTTGGGAGAGTGCTCATTATGGAGTTAGTTTTCCCTAATCGTCTATATGCTAATAGTTTCCACTATATTTCTTTTTGGAGGAAAATTATGTAATTGGTTTGTGGAGTTCAATTTTGCAGATGCTCTCTGACCAAGGTCTAAATATTGCCAAGAGTTCTGCTCACCAACAGATTTTGTGGTACAGCAGCTGGAAATTGGAAATTTATCAATCTGATTACCATGAGGTAGGATTATGATTCCTCTATTTGGCACTTAAGAAGTCAGTGAGTTCATCCTCCTCTTACCCTTTGTGAGATAAGAGGACGTAGTCATTTGCTGGAAGCAAATATGCCCAGAAGACTGCTAAAGACATAGATTATAATGGAAACCAAATAAAAGGTCCATAGAAAAGGATCACAGATCTAGAAGGGCCATTTAGTTTAACTCTCCCATTTTACAGATGAGAAAACCAAGGCCCAGGGAGATAAAATGCTCGCCCAAGATCATAAAGGTAGTTAGTAGCTGAAGTAGAGTTTGAATCCAGAACCTCTGACTCCAGAGATACTGCTCTTTCCCCTGTATTCCATATATAGAGGCAGCCACTACTGTCTCCCCTGTCTTAGGGTCTAATTCTCTTTAAGCCTATCCTGTATGGGTGGATTATTGATTATCCTAACAAAATAAGATGTCTCAGCACTGCCTCTCAGAATTGGCGGGATGGCTTTGAGTAGACACCAAGTTTATGTAAAGAGTCAAGGAAGCAGTCACAGAATCTTTACTGTAATGTTTGTTGTAAAATTCCAGGATGTATGCTTAATAATATTTAGGCTAAATTCCAAACTTACATTAAGAAAAGCATAGTAACTAAAGTTCTGGACCAGGAACTCGGTTCAAATCTTGCCCCAGATGCTTATTAGGTAAACTGCTCAATCTCATAGAGTCTCATGTATAAAATGTAGATACTTCAATAACTGGATGAATAGAAGTATGTGTAGAATAATTTTGCATATATATTGTGTATATATGTCACACACATACCTATTTGTGTCCAATGGTGGGCATTTCTAGGGTGGGGGGAAGGAAGGGAAGAAAAAAAGAAATTTATATGATAACTTTGTTGTATATCTAAAAGGAATAGCAAGTTGTACATAGTAGATTTGCTGTTTCATGTGAAATTATCTTTTTTTTTTATTATACTATGTTCTGAAAATGCTTATTTTATTCCATATGTTAAAAATTAAATAAATTTAAAACTATTTACATCATGGCATTGCTATAAGCAAAGTACTTTGTAAATTTTGAGGTATGATCTAAATGTGAGTTATTAACATTATCCAGTGTCTTTCTGTAGAAGAATCCATGTCCTATATGGGTTCAGGCATGATTTTTAGGTTAATACACTTCCAAATGGAATTTAAAGCAAGATTATAGAATCAACAGCTTAGTTTGAAGGCCATCTGTTAAGCTAAGGGCATTTGTGAGGGGGAAGGAAGAAATGGGAAGGACAGGACACACATAGGATTTGGCTTTGCTATCTGTAAAATAACAGACATTGCCATTTAATGGTCTATTAGCATAATCCACTCACTGATAGAAACTTCTAGGAACCTTGAGTTTCTTCCATCAGAAAAAATAATTTCTCATTAAGACCCATCCTTTTTATGATTGTTGTAACACATTTAATATGAGATGTTCAGTCATTTTTTGGTTGTGTCCAACTCTTCTTGACCCCATTTTGGGTTTTCTTGGCAAAGATACTATATTGGTTTGCTGTTTCCTTCTCCAGATCATTTTACAAATGAGGAAACTGAGGCAAACAGGGTTAAGTGACTTACTCAGGGTCATATAGCTAATAAGTGTCTGCGGTCACATTTGAACTCAGGTCTTCCTAACTCCATCCGCTGTGTAGTATATCCAGCTTTTGATGCTTCCCTGCATGACACTGAGCTAGTCATCTCCCTGAGTCTCCATTCCCTCATCTGCAGAAGCAGTGGAGTTGGATTATATGGCATTTAAGGCCTCTACCAGTTCTAGATCTTCAAGCCAATGCTTTACAAACCAGAAGACCCAGTTACTATTTGTGTGACTCTGGACAAGTCATTTTGCTTGTCTGAGCCTCAGTTTCAACATCAGCAAAATGGAAATAATGATGCTGACACTGCCCATCTCAGGGGGTTTTTGTGAGGAAAGTGTAAATGGCAGAGTGCTAAATAAAGGAGCTAGTGAGCTTTTGCTACCTGTCCCAAAGGGTGCCAACCCATCCCTTCCACTCCCAAGTATAACCAAATACGAAGCTCATGAGATTCAGAGCACAGGTTCAGGCATAGAAAGTGTCTATCACAGCATAGCAATGCAAAGATACCAGATAAAGTCTTATAAGACTGAACAACAAAACAGAATGTTAGAGCCAGAAAGGTTTCACAGATTTAATTCAACCTCCTTTTCCTACAGATGAGGAAAACTGAGGCATCTCAACTCACAGGCACACCCAGTAATTTCCATTACCCCTAAGTTAGAGGAGATGAGGTCACTAAAGTTTGATTCAAATGAATTTTCCTCAATGTTTTGATAAATCTCCCTCCTGGTGGATAAGCAAAGCTTTGAAAAACTGAAAACATCCCTATCTGTGGACACTGATACTTCCTGTGTGCTGTTTTAATGCCCGGCCTGACCAGGTTGCTATGCTGAGAAAATGCTGCCTCTAACAGACAAAGCCACAGTGTCAGAGGCACATCAATGTCAAAGGCCGCATGGTGAGGCCAGGAGGGCTTCAAGGCAATCTTCATGGGGCCAAAGCCAAAGAGAATCCAGCTCTGGGCTCTTCAAAATCCCAGAGCCCTGAAGGGTTTCATTAACACTAAGGCTTAAATTACTATTAAGTGCATTAATTCTGTAAAATGTTATTTTTATAGAATAACATTTCCCTTGGAAAGAGGTGCCTCATGCAAATGAGCCACTTAACCCAAGCCTCAGTTTTCCTCATCTGAAGGAAAAGGTTGAATTAGATATTTGAAATGCTTTCCTGCTCTGACATTCTATTTTATTTTAGTCATAATAGTAGCTAGCATTTATATAGTACTTTGTTTGCAAAGTACTTTAGATAAGTTGTCTAATTTGTCCTCACAACTCTGTGAGGTAGATGTTATTATCATTCCCATTTTATACACGAGGAAACTGAGGCTGAGAAGTTAAATTACTTGCTCAGTCACTTCTCACTTGACTGCACTGCCTTGGGACTTCTCCCCATGCCCCAGGAAGCTCATTAGTGGAATAACCTTGTCATCCTGTAATATCTCAAAAGCCTTGGTATTGAACCTCATCACTACCCTCTGCCTTTCCAATTGGAGGGTGGGAGTCATGAACTCCAACCCTCCGTTTAAGGAGAGACCTCAATAGAAATCTATTCTGCCCGACGGGAAAATAGAATGGGAAGGTGATAAGAGGAGGGGGGAGAGATAGAAGAGAGGGCAGATTAGGGAAAGGGGTATTCAGAATTAATGCCGTCTTGGTGTGGGGAGAGGGGCGAGACGGGGAGAAAATTTGGAACTCAACATCTTGTGGAAGTGAATGTTGAAAACTAAAAATAAATAAATTTAAAAAATAATAAATTTAATGTAAGTTTTGAAAAAAAGAAAAGCAATTGCCAATACTGTTTCTATAATAAACTGTTCGTGGATTGGGGAAAAAAAAAAGGAGAGACCTCAACTCAGGCATTTCCTCATGGTCTTCCTGACTCAGAGGCCAACTCTTTAAGTACTATACTGTGCTGCCTCTCATTTCCACTTTACAGATAAGTAAACTGAGGCCACGAGAGAT